CGATTAGCCGCACATTCCAATGTGTAAAATTTTGTTAATCTCGTAAAATTTTTATTGGAACATATAATTAGACATTGAAGCTATTAAATTTTTTTAAAAAAATATATATGAACAGCATCCGATCTACAATGGATCAAATTGTATGAAAAATTTCGAAATTTTAGTTTTTCGAAATAAAATTTTTGGCATATCAGGAGATTGATACTCAGATAGTGTTTTACAAAAAAAATGTATAGAGTAGTTTTTGATAGGATCTACAGCATCTGACCAATAATGGACCAAACTTGACTAAAAAAATTTCGTATTTAAATTTTCAAAAGAAATTCCCGGCATGGCAGGAAAATTATCTTTAAATAGATACAAAAAATGTATGGGGCACTTTTTGATAAAGTCTACAATATCCGACCAACAATCGACCAAAGTAGACAAAAAAAATTAAGTATTTAAATTTTCGAAAGAAATTCCGGCATGGCAGGAAAATTATCTTTAGATATATAAAAAAATGTATAGGGCACTTTTTGATAGGACCTACAGTATCCGACCAACAATGGACCAAATTGGACAAAAAATTTCGAAATTTTAATTTTTCGAGACAATCTTGGAGAAATATCTGGAGAGTTATCCGCAGATTATTGTCAAGAAAGAATTGTATGGGGCATTTTTGAATAGGACCTACAGAATCCGAAGTATACAATGGACCAAACTGAACAAAAAATTCTGTTATTTGAAATTTTCCAGAAAAATTCTCCGGCATAGCAAGAAATAAACACGAAGTACTTTTTGGATCTACAGCATCCGACCAAAAATGGACCAAAAATTTTCGAAAGAAAAACCAGCTTTTAGGAGTAAAGAGAAAAAAAATGAGAATTGTAAGGGAAAAAACAATTTGTACATTAAAATACTGTGTGTATACCTATATAATAGAAATGATACATATAGTCAAAGGGAGAAGATGCTGTAAGCAATTTCCTTAAGCAGAGTTTAGTTCTCACTTGCATTCTTCCCTGCAGGTGGTCCAGAATCTCAATAAAGAATGTTGTACAACTTGAGAAGAAGTTTATCTCGAGGTTGTCTTGCTTGAAGGTTTTAAGTGTGCTTTTAAGTGACTTTTAATCTCTTTAGATCGTCTTTGTCTCTCTCTCTCTCTCTCTCTCTCTCTCTCTCTCTCTCTCTCTCTCTCTCTCTCTCTCTCTCTCTCTCTCTCTCTCTCTCTCTCTCTCTCTCTCTCTCTCTCTCTTGGATCTCTAGAAGAAATGCTTGATGTTGAAACGATACATCGTGCATTCGACTTCTGTCCAATATTATATGAGAGGTAAATATATATTCAAGTTGAATAGCTATTCAGCTATCGCGATATAGTTAGGGTTCGCTACGAAGGAGTGAGAGAGAGGAGAGTCGTTGGTTTTACAACGACATTGTTCCCTGCCGCGATGTTTCTCAGCAATAAATTAGCGAGTGCATCGTTTTATCGGAACACCCAGACCGTTTATCTTTGGCGAACTCTCCCGCGGGATGAGGAAGAGGAAAAAGAGAGGAGAGGGCTGCAAAAGGCGAGGTATAGTAATATGAGAATCTCTTTTCTAGCCGCGGCTTAAACCGGGTCCACAAGTCACATCGTGCTCAAACTTTATGCGCTAGAGTCGATATCCGCGCGAGCGCATGAGTGCCTTAAAAAAAAAAAATTGTTTGCTGAAAGTTCGGCAAAGTTCAAATGCAAGCTAACATTAAATACAAGATACGCCTATACAGAATCTTGAATACACTAAGCGAGAGTCGTATAGTACTAAAATTACTGAAATATCTACCAATGGAATAGTTTATTGGCTTCTTTGATACTAGCTTCTGCAATTAGGTATTTTTTTTTTATATTTTATATAGGAAAAATTTTGTGAAAGTATAGTAAAGTAACAATGCTTTCTGTTAATTGCCATCTTACTCATAGTAGTTAATAATAGGAAATAGAGAGAATCATTTACTTTGATGTTTTGAAAGTACATTTGAATTCTTGAGATAATTCTTCCTTTTTCCATATAATGAGAAATTTAATTTTCTTGACGTTTTGAAATGACTATTATTATAATCACTGATGTGATATAACGCTTGATATGACGATAGAGGAGACATTTCACTGATATTTTGTTATCAAATTTTTATTTTCTATTTCTTTAGCTGTGGTTACGTTTACTGCAAGTTAGGTGAAGTTTATTATTTAGCAATTTTCTTAAAATTCTACTTTGTTGCAATGTTTGAAAATGCATTTTTTTTCATTCTTTTATTTTTGTAATTTGTTTAATGCTTAATTTAAATAAAACTTAATTTATTGATTTTGAAATATTTTAAATTATCTTCAAATATATTTGTAATACTTTGAATTATTTTCAAATTTATTTGAAATATTTTGAATTATCTGAAATATCCAAAATTATCTGAAGTAACATGAATTACCTTGAAGTACTTCAAGTACTTAGTATCTTCAATAACTTAAATTATCTGAAAGTATTTTAAATTATTTTAAATATCCTGAATTATCTAAAATATCGTAAAGTATAGCAAAACATCCTGAAGTATTTAAAGTATTTTGAATTATCCGAAGTATCCTGAATTACTTTGAATATCATGAAATCTACTGCAGTACCTTGAAGTAATCTGTATTATCATATAAAATATTTTAAAATATCCCGAGTTATCTTGAAGTATTTTAAATTATTGTGTAGTACTTCAAATGATATTAAAATTTTTCTAAAATATCCTGAATTACCTCAAGTATTTTGAATTATCTGAAGTATCCTGAAGTATCTATAGATTATCCTGACTTATCTACAGTATCTTGAAGTATCGAAAAATATCCTGAAAAGTTAGATCCTGAAATATTTTGAATTATCTTAAATATCCTGAATTATCTGAAGTATCCTGAATTATCTAAAGTATTCTGCAGTATCTGAAGTTTTCTGAAGTATTCTGAAGTATCCTGACTTATCTAAAATAACGTGAAATATCGAAAAATATCCTGAAGTATTTTGAATTATTTTTAATAGCCTAAATTATCTGAAGTAACATGAAGTTTCGTATATTTTTTTTTCTTACCAATATCGTCAAAAATTAGTTTCGCAGTCATCAATCGTTCCTTATATTTGATGAATAAGGAGAGCACACTTTTCAAGGTCTGGTCGATACCCTCGAGTGATGAATTTTAAGTTCAGCGCGCGAAAATAACCGCGATATTCATTCTCGTAGGAAACATATCTCAGCGGCTTTCCACCCGCATCATTCGTCCGTAGTTGGTGCTGTAAATGCAATTTTTTTCATGGAGTGTAGGCGTATCGAAAATTGTGCACACAAATGTATTTGTGTGTGTGAGAGTTAAAATCCCGACGAAAGTATACTTCAACACTGGTGTGAGATTTATAAATGAAATGGTGATTCACGTCTCAAAGATTTTGCTCTGTTTCGTTGATAGCTCGCCCATTCGTTCTCTTTTTGCTTTCGTTAGTATATAGCAAATCTTTTTCTTCTCTTTTCCTCAATGGAGATCGGTTGAAAAAAATTTTTTTTTTTGTTTCTTTTCCGAGAGAGAATATATATATATATATATATTTGAATTTCATAATTCGTTTCAATTCACGTGTCCTTGAAGTCAAACAATTTTCACGTCTTCGATGATGTAAGATAAATATTGCTACAGAAAAAAAACTTTATTATGCATCTTTAATTCGAGGAAAAAATTTTAATTCATTCATGTGCAATGTTTATTTCCTTGTTGAAAACACAAAACAATAAGAAGCCTTTATTTCGAATTTTTAATTAGAGACTGAGGATTTTTTTTTGTTATAATTAATTTTTAAAAAAATATTATTATTAATTGTTATAATTGTTAATTAATTAATATATATAAATAAATTATTATTGCTTTGTAGTAAGTTTAGTTTATAATAAGCGAAACATAAGAAATATTAAGAAAAATTGATTTTTAAGAAAAACATTTAGAAAACAGATGAAAAAAAAAAATCTTCACAAAGTTTGAAGCTATTACTGAGAGTGCTAATTAAAACTGACAACGAAAGACGCAATGGTGTCATCTGGTCGGAAATTCGCGCAGGGCTCAGACGAATTTTTGTATATTTTAGACTCAAAACCTTGGCCTAAATTACCATTTACTTTATTCAACTGCAACTGATCCTTTATGAAATTAAAGACTTTTTTCCATTTCTTTTTTCTTTTTATGATCTTCAAAAATAAATCATCTCGCACCAAGAGAATATATAAGAAATATATTGCTGTAGATAAATCAAAATTTAATTCTGATTGCATTTGTTTCTTATTGTCCGACCAAAAAAAAAAAAAAAATTTATAGAAAATTGAACCTTGTAATAATTTCTTTTTAATTTATTGCCGGAAACAAATTTTTTTTACTTTCATTAATTTTATATTTTTAAATTGATATGATTCAAGAATAAAAAGTAAATTTAAAAAAATAAATTTACAATTAAATATTATTTTATATTCTTAAGTTAATAATTACATAACTATAAAAAAAAAATTGGAAATGAATATAAAAATCAAAAAATTCATAATTATGTATGTAAAATTAAAAGGATAATTATTTCATGATTTAATACTGAAATATCGTTTAGTCACGCGTGTGCAATAATTATTATCCCATTTACGTAATTATTGAGCCGTTTGACCACACACTAATTAAATCGAAAGTAGGTTTATTGTCATAATTTATTGTTGGTCAAGTTGGTCCACACAAGATCGAGAGAATATTGCAAATCTAAGCCGCTTATTTTCTTATTTATATATGTTCTCGCTGCCCACCTAATTCAATATTATATATATATTTCTAATTAGTAATTAAATTGATATATAGCAATTTTATAAAGTCATATATTTAATATTAGATTATTATTGAAAATTACGTAAAAATTTTTCCATAACACTAAATGGTTATCTGTAAAAGGAAATATAAATTCGGATATGGGAAATAAATCCATAATATGTATTATATAATATTAACTATAGAGAACTTTTATTTTTTCTTTTTATTTTCACAATAACAAGTGACTAGCACTTAAAATACGTTTTGAACGACGTTTCCTTAAAATTGTAAAATAAAACACACATACACACATTCTGGAATGTATTTAAAATCTTGCGACTACTTGCAAAGATACATCTACAGAAAAATAATAAATTTTAAAGCAAAAAAAAAAAAAAGAAAACATATATTCTTTAATAAATTGTTTTGGCGTTTATTCTTTTTGGCTAAGGTATAAAATTTCAGAAATTATAACAATTTTTCTTCAAATAAAATGTGAATCGAAAAAATTAGAATTTAATATTTCGTTAAAAATTTGACGATTGATTTTTCTCTAGATGTAAAAAAGTGTTAGAATTTCTTTTTTTTTTTCGCATATAACATTGTCAACAACGTCGTCGATGATATCAGTTTCCTTTACTGACAATTAAGTATAGTTTTACAATCGTACGTATATCAAAATGGGGAAAAAAAAATATTTACAAATTTTTATACAATAAAATAATACCGTTAATGTAGCAATATTCACTACTTAATGGTTCCTTCGATATGGAATAAATTACGTATTGTGTCTGGAAAAACACTCACTAAAAATCATAAAAAAATGAGAAATTTTTTCATAAATACGTAAATTGAAAAATAATTTTTTATGAATTAGAAAAAAATGTCTACTTATTGCTTTTTTAAAATTCACTAAATTTCCATTATAAATTTTATTTAACTGAAAGTGCATTTATAAAATTTTCGATTTTATTTAATTTTAATTTTTCCTCAAAAATTATTGCTTTTGGTTTAAAGTAAGTGTTTTCAGAAGCTTCTAACGAAATGCAAAGCAAACACATATCGCATCCACTTGTCTCAATATGTACACAAAATTACAAATTTTTTTTTCTTCGCATTCTTATCATCTTTCCTGCATTCTTATATTATGTGTCATCATTGATCATACATACAATTATAATCTAGAAATTCAGGAACATCAAAGTTTAATATATATATATATATATATATATATATATATATATATATATATATATATATTATGTATAAATATATTTGCAGCTTCATGGAAAAGTTTTTGCAAACCTTTTTGTAAAAAATAAATGAAATTTATGCGCATGAAAAGGAGTATAGAAATTTTATTTTTATTAAAAGATATTCGTTATCAGAACACTAAATCGTATTGGAATTTCCCGAGTGCACTATCAGTTGTAAACATTTAAAATCCTCGAGAGATTCGTGAAACTCTTTTTTTCCTGAGTGAAATATAATTACAATATATATATATATATATATATATTTAAAAGCACACTCGTGGCAATATTTAAACACTATTATAATTGATAAAGGCACTTTTTGAAACACATCTGATATAATACAAAATTTTATGACGATCAATCAGAAAATCACAATTTGTTTCCTTGGCTCGTGATTTTTATTAATAAATTTTTTTTTTCTTTTGAAAGACAAGCGGGTATCGTTTGCTGATATGTATCGTTCTCTTCGAATTCTTATATTTTCGTATACTATATATTTCAAAATTAAATTCGAGTATTTACATTAAATGCTCTTCTTTATTATTATGAGAAAGTTTTATCAAAAAGCACTCAATTTGTCAATTCAATAAGAACGTTTTTAAAAATAATTTCATTTAATAAAAAAGAGAATTAAAAAAAAATGAAAGAAAACCATAGTTCATTAATTCATTTTGATAAAATAATTATTAAAATGTAAATTTATTAACTGATTTTAATTAACTGTATCAACTGCGAATATTAAAAAAAATATATATTTGTAAACGCAAATTAGAAAACATTTTATTGAAATGACATAGTTTTGTTTTGCAGTTTTAAAAATCAAATGTTTCTTCATTTTTAAACCATCAGTAAACTTTAGTTTTTAATTCCGTAAATTATAATATTCTACAACTAATTGACTATCGTAAGACTATCAAGTTCAGGTAACCTGTTGGTAGAAAATATTTGAAGAAACATTTGTAAATTTAAAACAAAAGTACTTCTTCTCATATATATATAGATATATATATTTATTATCATATAATTTTTTTTCTTGTTTTCCGATGATTAATCGCGCGAATGTCATCGAAATGTCGATGGAATGTCCGAGTCTATAATCACCCACCTAGAATGAATATCAGACTAGCGACACTTGAAAAGATGCGTATACAAATGTCCACGTTAACTCTTTCGAGTAATGCCTGTACAAGCGCCACTCTCACCTTGCAGGAACTTCATCCTTGTCACGTGCGTTCAATATTTCCACATCTCACTAAAGATTTCCGGTTGTCGAACGCTAATCCCTTCTAATTTTGGATGAGAAGGGTTTCTTAACCCGAGAACGAACGGTCATTGCCTCTCAATATATAAATATATACAAATAATAATAATAAAAATAGAAATAATTGGCTCAGATTTTTTGTTAATTTTATTTTGACATTTTTTTAATTGTACCGAAAAATGTCTGTTTATTTGATATGGTTTTTGGGTAACAAAACAATTAGATCTTTAGGAATTAGATAATATTGAATTCAGGGAACATAACGAAATAGAAAATAATTTTGTTTTGCTTCGAAAAAACAGAATTTGATTCTAAAACCCAATTATGATTCTAGTTCTGAAATCGGAATTTAAACTGAAAATGCTTTTGATTCTAATTCTTAAATTCGAATAGCAAACTGTACAGTTTTGATGATTTTAAAATCCGGATTTCGATTCTGGTTCTGCAATTAGAATGGTTTTGATTCTGATTCTTAGGTTTTCATAGCAACTGTGCAGTTTTGATAATTTTAAAATCCGGATTTTGATTCTGGTTCTGAAATCAGAATAGTTTTGATTCTGATTCTTAAATTCGAATAGTAACAGTAAAGTTTCGATGATTTTAAAATCCAGATTCTGATTCTAAAATCAGAATTCAAACTGAAAATAGTTTTGATTCGGATTCTGAAAGCCGAGCAGAAATTGTACACAATTTTGACGATTCCAAAATTTGAATTTAAATTGTACACAGTTTGTTTCTAACTTCAAAATCCGATTTTGATTCTGTATAACCCAACCAAAATCGTAACAAAACAAAGCTTACGTTACGCTCCCCTTTTTAAATCTTTGGGAAACAGACAAATGAAATTATATTAATAAGAGATCTTTAGATAAATTTAATACAAAACGGCAATGTTTACCTAACGGGGTAAAATTATTATCCATCACCTTCATCATCATTATACGCAAATTCTTTGGTTTCACATTTATATATCAATTTGAAAAACATCAGAAAATCGTTTTTTTCTTTTTTTTTCTTTATCAATAATGTTCTTTAATACTTTTCTCCAATCTGGTCACGTGACAAGCTCTGTCCTAATCCTCGTGACGAATCTCCGTGCAACTGCAAGAGAAAAACTCCACCAACTCAGATCATTTGTCCTCTGATTATATATAGAGTGATCACAAAATTTTCCCCACCTCCTTTTCTTTTTTTTTTTTTTTTTTTTGCAGAGGGCCTGAGAGCTTGGAGAGATTCTTCCTCTTCTTCTTTTTGTTTTTCCCTAGGGTCATCCCCAGAAAATAATTCAACTTTTAGAACCGAGATTTAATTATCGTATCTCATCAGCGATTAGCGTAAACATTACTGCTGAGTATGACAATATTGGTTCCTTTTTCGGGATCGTCACGTCCTCCGAGGAGGAGGGCGCACAGAAGGCGTCATATACTTAATGAGGGTCTCTTTTTTCGGTCCTTGGTGGTATTTTTACCGAATATTGTACCCAATACCCTTGATACTGAATGAACACCGAGCTTACGTCTAATGGGTAATGCTCGTAATAGTTGAACGGAACGAGCCTCCCTAAGAAGAGCTTGAAAGGCAAGGGCCGCACCTGCCGGACTTTCTGCGGCACTAACCTCGTAAAATTGACAACCATGGGCCAAGGATAATTGCTGACCCTCGTCCACGCACACCTCACTGAAACAAAAGAATTACAGAGCACCACTTATTATTTGGTACTTAAATTTCCATTTGTGATGTGTTATATATTCGAATCAGGAGTGGGTGGTTTCTTTTTATTGCTATATGCACACTTTCTCCCAGGGGGGGGGTAGACTTGATGAGAAATTTAAAATGTCATTAAAGGAAGTACTTTTCATCCTCTCGTAGGGTTCGAAAATCAAAATTAATAAATTAAAACCAAAACAAATTTTGGTTTGGCTGTAACAAAACCGGAGAAAAATTTCTATCATAGTTTTCGAAAAAAATTTACTTTCTTTCAAAAATTTAAATTTTCGCGGGCTTTAATGTAACGCCACCTTAAGCATAGTGGCGCTGCGATACTTTCCTATATATAATTCAGCTGGAAAGTATTCCTTCTATATTTTATTCTATGTTTCTAATTCTTTAGTAGAATCAAAAAAATATGACAATCATTTAGAAAATGATTAATCTTTCTATTGTAATGTATATTATTATTACGTAATGTCTAACTATAAATAAACAATAACAGTACAAGGTGAATCAAAGTACTTTGAATGTAAGCAAGCTATTCAGATTAATTTTTTTTTCTTTTTTTTTTTTGGACGAAATTATAGACGATAAAAGTTATTGTTTTTTGGTTTATGTTTAGAAACAAATCACATACATGCTTGAAATATAAACATTATACTCGTATATAGTCAGGGGTCGAAAACTGATGGTCGATCGATGATAGAGTTCTGAATCATAAAAGTTTATAACTTTGCTCATAAATTTCCAGGTAACATGTAGTAAATTTTGATCTAATAGCATTTTGAATTGTACAATTTTACCGTAATGTAGCAGTTAAATTCTTTAGGGCTCAAAAACCACTTTCTTCAGTGGATATATTTTAGATGCTTGTGAAAATTTTTGTGGTCTTTATACAAAATTCCTTGGAAATTTAAATATAAATTCAAAAATAGATTTATTGTTAATAAAAATCTTATATTTATCCTGATAAAAGTTAAAATTAGATACAATTACATTAAATTTTATTCAATTAGAATTAATTATATTTAAATTATCACATGTAAATAATTACTTAATTAATTTCCCATTTATAATGGGTTAAAAAAATTTAAATAATGATATTCTTAATTGAAGGAATTTTTTTGTTTTTCAAGGTTATTCGAACCACAAAACTGGAATGAGTTGACTGGTTCCAGATTCATGTTAAAACTATCGTGAGTTATTTAGAGCATCAATTTAGGAACATCCGAATTTAACGAATCGCGCCATCGAAATTATCTCGCTTTCCAGTAAACTTAATGTTAGTGATTTTATTTTTTCAAATTTTAAGTTATGACTAACATTATGCAATTTAAATTTAACCGAATTCTTTAGTGAAATAGACGATCTATTTTATCTATACACTATTTTATCGACTATATTTCTGTATAGTACACCAGTATTGAATTCAATCAACAATTCATAAATGGGTCAATGCTATAAAATTGAGAACTTTAACATATAAATTTTGAGACTCTTAATATTTAAGAATATATATATAAATAAAACTTTTTAAATTCCTGAAGTTTAAATATCAAAATATTTAATGTCATTTGAAAAATATACTTTCCAGACAAATATTTTCACAGAAACATACTAAAAAATTATAATAATAATAATAGTAATAACAATAAAAATTAGTATTTGACTGACTGAAATTGACTTTTTCTACTGTATCAAAAGAGAAATTTTTTTTGTTTTTATAATTGATTTTTACAAAAAAAAAAACTAAACTAAACTACTGTCTGACTGGAAAATACTGTTACTACTGATAAAACTAAAATTTAGGACAATTGGTCTGACTGAAACTCGACTTAACTACTTCTACTGGAAATATTAAATTGTAAGAATAAGTAAATACAAAACATTTTAATTTCCAGTCTGTCTAAAAATCACTGTTAAAAATATAATTTTGTCTGACTATAGCTCGCTTATACTACTAATTATGGAATTAGAATTATTTATTAAGAAAAGAAAATTCATGAAATTCATTATTAATACTAGACAACAATTTTCGTAAATATGAAAACAAAAACGTTTTGTTTCCCACATTCAGTAGTAAAAGAAATTCAGTAAGAAAATGTCTTTTACTACTGAATGTGGGAAATTTTTTTTCCAACTTCAACTGCTTTTGCAGTAAAAATTATTATTTTTGTTTTCCATTTTTCTCCATGTATATAGCGTTTGAAAATTAACGTCGCTGCTACAACATTATTAGCAGAAGGTAATCAAATTTCAGAGGAGTGAATAATTTCTTAATTATACTGCGGAAAGAAATAACCCGGTAATCGTCATGGCTCGTTCGTTTTAACGTTTATACACGAATTGACAAACTAGTGGCGTTAACTGCAGCACTGCAAAAAAAAAAAAAAAAAAATGCATTGACATAAGAAGAAGGAAGTAAAGGTTTGCAAGTAAAGGCACGAACACCATTTCTAGTTTCACGGCAGATTATTATATTGGCCTCCCGCCATCATCGAACGTAACGGATACAGTAGGCTATATATATATAATAGTCTTAGGTCAAACTGTGTTTTATTTATTGATATTATTTTTTTTCTATTTGCTCAATATGTATATATAGATATATAGAGGGAGCGCGTAAGGCCCAGCGCCGTGCCATGCCACTTGAATCCTCGTATCTTAAACGGGGCCTCTCTCTCTCTCTCTCTCTCTTGGTGACTAGAACACGCGATATTTATGGTAGCAATTAAATTCACGGAACATGTGATATTCAAGCTACAATGCGTGGGAGGGCTACGCCTCTCTTTTAACACGAGCGCGGATTCACCCGCAGCAACTGTGCTGCACGCGTCTCTCTCCCTTATATAAACACACGTATATACACACACATGTCGAAACTACATCGTTAATCTGTCCTCTTATTTTATACGGGCGATCCTATTGCTTTATGAGGCATGGCGTTTAAATTCAACCTACGAGCTTCCTGGCAATCTTCGCGCCACGATCATCTCTCGCGCTCCCACGATCCCTTGCTTGTATGTATGTATATGCAATCGCGCAGCAAGACATTTTGTCCTGAGTATCGCGTCGCAGGCAACACGTGTTAAAGTTGTGGCGGCAGCGGCGGGAATTCGATTGCAATTAGAAATTGAATGTGCTTTAAATGTAAATGGAAAGAAATGTGAAAACGACACTCGCGAGAGGTGTTGATCCCTGTTTGTTACATGATGTAGATGGCTGATTAACTTCATGTAAGGAGCAGCATTGCCTTATTTGGATCATTTTCTGTCTGTGAGAAAAGCTTTTGATTTTATAATGTCAGTGAGAAAAACTATCTCCTTAGCCAATTAGGGATTCGAAAATGGAATAATCTTATCGTTACATAGGGAAAATAAGACTTTGAAATGAATTGTTAGAAATATTTGATGTCGTAAAGAATCTTGAGATTTTCCATCCGAAACTGTATCACTTATTTCAAGTGAAGTTCAGTGACATTTTTCAGTAACTCAAAGGAAATTAGAAGAATTATTTCTGATTGTATTGCACAACAATGAGTAAAAAATAAAAAAAAAAAATATTCGAATTGCCAAAAAAAAGAACAATTCTAAATGCTCTTAAGAAAATATAATGATAATGTTGAATGTACAATGCACGACTCGAATTACTCGTTTTCATTCTAAATACATATATACGCAAGCGACATATATACGAAATATACGTAAAGCTCAATAAGTGGGAGGAACCATGCAACCAGTTTTGTAAGCGATAAAAATTTCACGGTTTAGCGCGTGAGGTGTTCTCCGCAACATTCACCGGTTGTTGGCGCCCGTTTAGTCGCGCTGAAATATCAAGATCTCCGCTATTGATAAGTTTATTAATATGCAATTTACTCTGGATATAACATACCCTGGCAAATATAGGGTCCCAACATACATATATATGTATAAAGAACGGTTATAGTCTGTATATATATATATATACTCCTTGAGGCCCAATGGTGTGTGGCCTAATCTTTACGAACCTCATTAAACCAACGAGCTACCGGTGTATAAAGGCGGCGCGAGTCTTTTAAATACTACGACATTTACGGTTCTCTCTGTTACTTGAAAACGTAATAGGGAAGCATTTTGGTTGTTATGCGAATGACTCAGTGCAAATGTGACGCTAATATTGCATAACTGTTTATAATTCTATACCACTAGTTGAATAGAAGATTATAAATAATAATAGAGAATAATTTACATAATTCATGTTACTTCAGATAGTTCAGAATACATTTTACACTGAAATTTCTTTTACAAAAACAGTCCCTTTAACTGACTGTTACCAGTTACTTTGATACCAGATACTATGGTACCAGTTACTTTGGTACCAGTTACTTTGGTACCATTTAGTTACTATGTTACAAGTTACTATGGTACCAATTACTTTGGTACCAGTTACTTTAGTACCAGTTACCATGGTACCTGTTATTTTAACACCATTTAGTTAGTATGTTACGAGTTACTATGGCACTAGTTACTTTGGTACCAGTTACTATGATACCAGTTACTTTGGTCCAAGTTAATTTAGTACTAGTTACTTTAGTACTAGTTACCATGGTACCTGTTACTTTAGCACCATTTAGTTAGTATGTTACGAGTTACTATGGCACTAGTTACTTTGGTACCAGTTAGTTTGGTACCAGTTACTATGATACCAGTTACTTTGGTCCAAGTTAATTTAGTACCAGTTACTGTGGTACCAGTTACTTTGGTACTATTTAATTACTATGCTATCAGTTACTTTTGTACCATTTAGTTACTATGTTACGAGTTACTATGGTACCAATTACTTTAGTACCAGTTACTTTAGTACCAGTTACCATGGTACCTGTTACTTCGGTACCATTTAGTTAGTATGTTACCAGTTACTATGGCACCAGTTACTTTGGTACCAGTTACATTGGTACCAGTTACTTTAGTACCAGTTACCATGGTACTAGTTACTTTAGTACCAGTTACCATGGTACCAGTTACTTTGGTACCATTTAGTTACTATGCTACCAGTTACTTTGGTACCAGTTACTTTGATACTAGTTACTTTGGTACCAGTTACTTTGGTACCAGTTACTTTGGTACCAGTTACCATGGTACTAGTTACTTTGGTACTATTTAGTTACTGTTACCATGGCATCCATAAAAGTGTACGACGGAACGGACACCAGAGCGAAATTATAAGGCTTTCGAGCATAAGCCACGAAACCCTAAAAAAACAAACGCAAAGCTTTATAAAAATATTAAATAAATTGTTCACAAATGTTATGATTTTAACACATCAGCATTAAACAAAAAAAAAACTTGTCGGTCATCTAGTTTTCTCTCGTGTGAGAAAGTTTTTGAAAATGGAAATTTGTCGTCAATATATATAAACACTAAATGGATGTTAAATTGCCAGAAGGTATTCTATGTCGTCATGGATAGGTCTCAACAGTATATCTATCGTGGCCTGCGCTTTCGTATAGCACGAATGTATACAGCTCTTATCGGTGAAATTAACTGCGGACAAACCGTTTTATCGCGACGAAAGATAGTCCACTGTGATTAATGGCGGTCCCGTGGCTCCTTAACGGTACACACAGAAAGCTATATATATATACATATAGTATATATATAAATGTGGTGGACGCCCTGCCGGGCCGGAAGACGTTCGAAGAAATCGAAAAGCACCCAAAGAACGCGGTCATAAGATTTCAATGCAAGATTTATTACAGTTTTCAATTAAAAACTTATTGTACTTGTTTCTTTTTTCTTTCTTCCTCCAATGTAGAAAGTGCAACGTGTCAAAAATAATCATATCTCACGCGCGCGCGCGCTCGCGCACTCTCTACAAAAAAGAATTTCGACACATATGCACGTTCATATAACAATTTGTTTGCATTCATCTCTTGCGAAAATAAGCTTTTCAAAATTATTATTAAGTAATTCATTAGAGTTTTGATTAAAATGAAAATCGATTAATATTGTTTCATGATGTTTTATGGCGATATGTATAATTTATTGAAGTTAATTTTTGCTTGTAATATTTTTTAATAGTTCCACAATTGTATTTTTCTTTTGAGTTGTAATATTTTTGCCTGAAATATTATTAATTATTATTGTTTTATTTTCTTTTAGTATGTAATATATTTATTGTTAAATAATAAATGATAATTAAAAGGAAAAGTAATTGTGATGAAACTTAATAACTTTCACTTGTATGAAATTAGTGTTTGCTCTTTGGAATAAATATTAAGTTATGATACAATAAAAAAATCAGTCAGTGTTTCCATAGTAATTATTGATATAGTAACCGTTGCTATGGTAGCCGGTGCCCTACTGGTAACCGCTGCTATAGTAACTGATACTATAATAACTGGTACCATAGTAACTGGTACTATAATAACTGGTAGCATAGTAACTAAATGGTACCAAAGAAACTGGTACCAAAGTAACTTGTACCATAGTAACTAAATGGTACCAAAGTAACTTGTACCATAGTAACTAAATGGTACCAAAGTAACTTGTACCACAGTAACTAAATGGTACCAAAGTAACTGGTACCAAAGTAACTGGTACCAAAGTAACTGGTACTATAATAACTGGTACCATAATAACTGGTAGCATAGTAACTAAATGGTACCAAAGAAACTGGTACCATAGTAACTAAATGGTACCACAATAACTTGTACCACAGTAACTTATACCACAGTAACTGGTACTATAATAACTGGTACCATAATAACTGGTAGCATAGTAACTAAATGGTACCAAAGAAACTGGTACCAAAGTAACTTATACCATAGTAACTAAATGGTACCAAAGAAACTAGTACCATAGTAACTGGTACCATAGTAACTGGTACAATAGTAAATGGTACCAAAGTAACTGGTACCAAACCAACTGGTAGCATAGTAAATAAATGGTACCAAAGTAACAGTTGTTATGCAATTACAGCAATTACTGAAAATAATACTTCGATGCTACAAAAGTATGTTTATAAAAATAATTTTGAAATAATATTTTCGGCAATTCTTTTTTGTAACGAGAGAGAAAGAGAGATAGAGAAAGACAGACAGACAGAGAAATGAATTAAGCGGAAAACAAGTGGCAATCGCGTGAATGATTTCAATGTAGGTGAGTGGATTCAGATTGACGATTGACCACTGCCGGGTGTGTTACTTTGACGATTGCTCCTCTGTCGTCAGGTTCTGTGGCTGAGACTCTCCAATACTGAGGATCCGGTTTCAGGCCTGATGCAAGTCACTGGTTTTCTATAGTTTCCATATGTACACAGGATCACGAAACACACAGGGATAAATATATACCTATATAAGCGCAACACAAGTGGCCGAAGTAAACACGCGAGGTCCTACTCGAAAATCGTTCATGTATAGGAAACACTCACGAAGATCCTGTTACAACAAGATGGAAAGTGGACTCGTTTTAATATAATTTAATAGGGCAACAAGCGTTGCTTATAGTTTAATAATAATCAACCAAATATTGTGGAATAAAATTTATATGCAAGTTAAATAAAAAAAAAAAATGTTTACTATTGAAAATATATTTTATAATTTGTTTCTAATTTGAAACAATTGGAAAATTATTCACAATAAACTAATAGAGCCATAGGTGCGAGAGATTTCGGCTAAATGAAATGAAAAATATTTTTCTAGTAATAAGATAAAAAAGAATTGATTCTTATTTTTTCAACAACCACTGCAGAAAAATTGAAAGACTATATATTCATTTATGAACAAGTTTAGTCTGCATGCGGTTTTTATAACGAGCAATTTTTTTATTAGCCTCTTCCTGCGGACTCAGAATGTTTTGAAAGTTGAGTGAGCTTATCTTTTGCTTCTCTGTGCAAATATCACGTAACTTAGATTGCGCTTTGCAACGACAAGAAATTTAACAATAAACTAAAGAAGGATAATAAGAAAAAGGGTTTTTAATATTAATCGATGTTTATAGGGTCAATGGTTGAAGGTTACATGATAGATATATATATAAATACAGAAAGGAAGAGAGAGAGAGAGAGGATCTTGATCGTCAGGTCAAATTAAAGAGAAGAGAAACCGGTTTAAGGGAGAAACCGATTATCAAAGCAAGTAGAGTAGGTTCAAGGAACGACTGATCTCACTTCGCTGGTGGCATGACCCAGGACAGTGGGATTCTTCCTTGAATGATAGCAATAGGAATATAAGAGAGAAAGGGTGGTGCACTTACCGGGCATGATCGAGATCTCGTTTGTTACCAAGTAGAAGGGCGGTAAAATAAGATGGCAAACGAAGGTCCGCCAATTGTTTCAGAAGTCCTCTCGCCTCTTGAAAGCTTTGTTTGCACGTCACGCTGTAAACAATGACGAATGCCTCACCCCATCTTATATGCGAGTAAAGACAATTGTTTTCCTGAAACATAAATAACGCAATTTCATTTATGTAAAATATGTGGAATTTTTTTTTTTTTCTAAAACTCGTTAGAAACTTACTACAAACTTTACTCCACAGAAAAGAAATTGTTTTTCAAAAAAATGAAATTATATTTTTATAATTTTTTGATAAAAAAATATATATATAAAAGAAATGTCGTAAAAAGTATATAAAAATTTTGATAATTATTTTCTTTAAGTGCATATAATAGATGTTAATTACAAGATACAATATTTGTCAGGTGTTAATTACTTTTTCACTTAAACAATATATCTCAAGAAGGCAATATATTCTTGATGGCTTGTCATAAACCACAAATTAAGATATCTCTTTGTCTCTCTTTTCTTCTCTCTTTCCCTCTCTCTCTCTCTCTCTCTCTCTCTCTCGTGAGAGGGAGAATTCAAAAGAAATAAGAGCATAAGAAAGCAGGTGTGAGCAGCAAGATTTATATCGTACTGATCACGATGCGTGCAGTCCAGGTCACTTTTTATAAACCATAAAAGTGTACTAATATTTTGTCACCTCCGATATATTGCATCTTTAAAATTAATAAAATTTTATATCTAGAAAAATTAATCAATTTTGGAATTTTTTAATTTAATTGAAATAAATTTTACTATTGACACTTTTTTTATGTAATGGAATAAGTGAAATTCAAAATGACACGATTTTGAAAGGAAAGGGGGAAAAAAAGAAGAAGCTGATTTAAATTGAATCAAAAGGATTATGGAGAATTTCGTTTTCTATAGAATTCAGAGATGCAATTATATGCAAAGTGGAAGAGATCTAACTAGGAATAAAATTGGACGCGCAAAATGTCGTTTCTCGTGATCGTTCCACCAGTTTCTCATTGACATGATTGACCTGACACTGACTTGTAATTATACTGCGCGAGACGTCGTTCGAATCGTGCAAACGCCAGACCTCGAAACCCCGTAATGAACATCAGTCAGGATTTTATGATATAGCATAGATATTTCGTCTCAACTGCCGCGCGGGGACAGTATACTAAAGTGAACTATATAACCCTTTATGAACCCAAATCAGATTAAATCACTTCAGGAAATGTTTCAATTTACTTTATTTTGTTTTCTTCATTTTTTTATTTTACATTATTTATATTTAATAAAGATTAAAAAAATTTTAATAATATTTTAGAATTTAAAAAAATTTCCATTCTAGATTTTTGTAAGAATTTCATTTTTTGACCCATTTTTTTCAAATTGTTAATTTTTTGAATGCGTAATGAAAATTGAAATTTTCAAATAGAATGTGTAATAAAAAATTGAAATTTTCAGATACACTGACGACTTGGAATACAATGAAAAGGAATTTCATTCAGCAGCGGGACATTGGCGGTACAAAAGAGAAATACGTGAGGTATGTGGTAACATCAGTTTAATGGCTCATAAATATTTATTGATCGATTGTATCGAGACAATTGGATGTGATACCGGAATGGATTCCACGTATGTTCAGAGCACTTGCGAATACTATGACGTGGGGCGGTCGCGAGCGTTCTTGTGCAATTCTCTCTCCCTCTCCATCTAACATAACTTTGCTTATGAAACTATATATACATATGATACAAAAGCAAACCGTTATACCGAAATTGACCTTTTGCAATTTTTTTTTTTTTTTTTCAAATAACTACATTGCCTTGACTTACTCCTTCCTGGAGTTACATCCATTCGCTTTTAAAAAAAAGACAATTTAACAAAAAACTATAGATACAATTTATGAAAAATTAGTATCGAAATAAATTTTCAAACGATTTGCAAATGAATTAAAAAAAAATTGTTCATAAATTTTTATGAGAGCGATTTAAAAAAGGTATATATTAAAAAAAGATATGACTTGAAATTTTTACAAGATGAAACGGAAGAAAGTGCCATTTGAATAATAAGTGATCAATATTCAATTTGAATAAGAAATTGATCCCGCCAATCAATGAGAATCGTCTACGTCATGTTACAAAGGCAAAAATGACTTGACTTATTCTTTTGAGATGAATCTTTAACTTACAATAAAGTTCTCCCCAAAAAAAGAAAAAAATAATAATACGTGAAAAAAAATTAAATGTCGCAGATAAAAATTTTTTTTTTTGCAAAACAATCACTAGATATATGGTAATAAGAGGGTGTAATTTCTGCCTTTAATTCTACGACCTCAATTACATGATCTGAGTTATGTGGAAAAAAAAGGTAAAAAAAAAAAACACATGAGAAGCAGCGTACACACAAATGCTGCTTATATTCCAACCACTTCCAGTAAAGAGGTTCATTTGCATATTGCTAAGCGAGGTTTATTTATGTCACACTGTCTGGCCCATTTTGCACGCATTGCCCAGGAAGTGCGAATTTTTCTTATAAATATATAACTGCGTTCAAGTAGAGAAAAAAATTTTTTTATCGAATCACTTTTCAATAATATTGTTTCGTATAACCATAAACATATTTAAAAACATTTAAAAACAATAATAATGCAATATTAATAGTTACACTGAGAAAAAAAATTTAGTGTTTGCAACAAAATTGTTTGGTTAGGCAATTTTTTGGTTCTTGTAACCAAATTTTGGTTAGCTGAAACAAAGTCGTAGAGTTATCTCAACCAAACATTTGGTTAGGCCAACAAAATTATTTGGTTGAACATTTTTAAATTCCAACCAAAATTTGGTTACGACAACAAAATAATTTGGTTAACACAACAAAATATTTTGGTCTAAAAAACCAAACTATTTTGTTGTCCTAACGAAAATTTGGTTGCGACAACCAAATAATTTGATTCGCTCTCAGCTCATACCTTAAGAGAATAGTTAGTTTAAATCTCTCACAAGGATGGGTAGTCCAGTGGTCAGAGCTCCCAATCTTCAGTTTTAAAACAGATGTTCGATTCCAGGCGAAGATAAGATTTTTCAAAGTCCACAAATATTTCAATTGGATAAACATAAATTCAATGTTAAATTGATAATAGATAATGAAATAAAAAAAAAGATAAAAGAAAAAGAAATAAGGTAGAATAAAGTTTTTAATTTTACAAAAAAAAACAGTTTGTTTAATCAACCAAAGATTTTTGTTGACCTAACAAAAAAAATTTGGTTGAGCTAACCAAACATTTTTGTTATGCCAACAAAAAACACTCAACCAAATTTTTTGGTTGACTCAAACAAATAGTTTGGTTGCTTAAATACCAACAAAATTTTTTTGTTGGCCCAACCAAATTTTGGTTGCTCTGACTAAACATTTTTCTCAGTGTAGTTTCTGCTTTTGAATTTACAAAGATTTGCAAAAGATTGTCAATTTTTTAAAATAGAGCCGAAAACTTTTTGTTGGTTTGTTCGGTTATTTGCAATTTCGGTGAAATTAAAATTCGGCTTTTTAATAATTCAACCGAATATTCGTGAAAAAATTTGTTTTATTTGATAATTTAAAAAAAATTATAATAGTAATTTAATTTAATATGGAAATTACAATATAAAATCCTATATACGGAAATATGTCCCATTTGGGAATGAGGGCGTGACACTATGTCGCTAATTGTTGGGGTCAGATGAAAAAGGAGACGAGCGTAAATACGTTATCATTATTTATATATAGAGGGAGAGAAATTATGATATGAGTGAAAGTCACTCGCGGGTTAAACCTCACAGTTATAAATAGAAGTTTGCTCGTCGTGCATTGCATTCAAAAGATCAGATCAAGGGGTTGACCGTTTAAGTAGATCTTCTCCTGATAGCATTCCAATCACACTGTACTTTTGCCATGAGATGATTCAAGGTGTTAAAAATTTTTCTTCTTAATTGGACTCCAAAAAAAAAAAAATTGTATCAATAAAATATTTTTATTCTCCAATTCTAAAACGCTAAAAAAATTTTTCTTTCAAATTTATAGTCTTTAAAATCCCATTTTCATTTTGTCATTAAAATTTTTAATGAAAAAAATTGTATTTAAAAATTTATTATCTAAAACCTTGAGACGAAGATTGTTTGGCTTCTTCTATTTTTAGTTTTTCAGTCGCATTCTTGAATTTTTCTCGTTATATTGAATTGATTCGAGAATGATATGAAGTGTTAATAGGCTCGTAAAAGCTTTGTCGAGTAAAGTTTTCTTTTTCTTTTTTCGCCAAAAATAAACTGCACTGCAGCTTTGAAACAAATGTAGAAAGAGAGAGAGTTGACATAAAATTAAGTACACCCTTTAAATTCAGCAAAGGGGAAGGGGAGAAAGAGAGAGAAAGAGGGATGCTTAAATTTAATGTCATTTGAACATTGAGCGAAAGTGCACTCGATCCTCTCGGTTTTAAAGTCTCTTGAAGCGAATGCGCGTTACGACAGAACGTTGTGATGTCAGTGAACCAGACAAGTGGGTGTAACGAACTCGCAATCAGCTTTAAGACAGGTTCTCATCATCATAGTTGAGACATCTATAGGTGCTCAATAAACCGTCTTGAATTCAGTTAGGTTTTAGTTTCTCAAAAAAAAAAAAAGCAGGTGCTACATTAGATCTTAATACTAGACGAAAGTGATAACTATTATAGGTAACTTGAAACGGAGAAAGGAAATTCCAATATTTATCTCTCAAGGCAGTTTGAAGGTCTCTTTTTTTTCAACTTCCTGTATTTTTTTTTCACATTTCCGAATGCGGAAAACATACTTCTTTTCTCAGACTTTGCGAATAAAAATTGCGTTTACAAAAATACAAATTTTTCTCAGATTAAATACAGGAATCCTTCCTTTATTTCTAATTATTCGAATCATTTATTTTTCTTTATAAATCAAAACAAATCCAAATACTTTCGGAATGAAAAAACGTTTTTCTTTAAATCGAAAGTTCACTCTCACTGTTTAAAATATACTCTGTGAATTATTGAACGTAATAAAAAGTTTAAATTTGCTTCAGTTAGTTAATATTAGCATGCGGTTGGTCATAACTCAAAAGTTAAGTATGATTATTTTGAGGCGGAAGTAGTCTATATCGTTG